CCCATCCAGTCACAGCCTATAGTCGTGATCTTTGATTACTGCACGCTTTTATCGGGAGCGCTTTCTTGCTTAAGCACCCAAATGCTTCGATGCGGGACGCCGTTGCGGAAACGCAATTTCTGTTTTACTTATTTATTCATTTATTTTCCTCTCGTGCTCCGTCACGCTCTTGAGAGTGCGCGCAGAATTGTTTGCCGCTCAGCGTGCTGCCATTCCATTTTCACGAGTTGCCTCCCTGTGGAAACGTTATTTCCCGTTTCTCGCCATTCTCTTCTTTTTTCCGCGTTTCCAGTTGATGGGTTTCAGACCATCGGAGATGAAAGGGCCCGGAATCGAACGCGCGTCTGGCCTGCACCTTTTTGTACGTGCTCTTTGTTTGTGTAATTTCTGGTCTAGTTGAAAACGTTGTTTCGAGGAATACTGGGCGAAAAACGAAGAAGGAGGTACTAGGTGGTATTAGACATTTGTGCGCCCGGCTTGTTTGTTCAGGAGGGCCTCGAGTTTCGTTTGTCTGTCCGCTTTGTCCGCACCTTCCTTATACCCTCCATGAAGTACTGCTGCCTATCGATGGTCAGCAGTCTTCTTCTTTTTTTTTCATCTCTCGACCAATTTGGTGCTTTTGTGAGCGGGTAAACAGAAAGACGAGCAAAACACTACTACCAAATGGCATTTGCGCTCGGTCCAGTTCCTAACCCGCTGGCTGCTTTTTTTTTACTTATTTTGTTTCTGTGGATCGTACCTGTTTGGAAAACGTGAGAGTGTTGATTGAGAAGGAAGTTTGCCCATGCGCTGATTTACTTTGCTCCCAATTTATCCCGTTTTGTATATTTTTCTTTTTTGTTCTTGTTTTTCGTTCAAGACTACGCTTCTACATTGTCCATTTACATCACTTTTTAAAATGAAACAACGAATCTGTTTAGATTGATAAATTGCTGCCCCATGATCGAAGCGGCGGGGCTGTCCTGCCGGTCGAGGGATCCCGGACTGCGGCGGCCGCATCCTCGGTGGACGCGAAAGTGCTTGCATCCCGTGTGCTCAGATTTAGGTGTGCTTTGAAGAACCCCAGGTGGTCGAATAAAGGGAGTGCTTCATTGTGGCGTCTCTCACAACCGTATTGTGATTTTCACGTGGTTTGATAATTTATAATTATTGTCAGCTCATAAATTCACAGGCATACGCTATTTATTACAGGAGAAAAGCAATATCACAGTCTTGTTTTTAAATTTCGCGCCGATCCGCCACGTGAGTTGTCACGAATATCAGACTCTATATTTCATATTTTGGTGCCACGAGCTCAATGAAATTTCCTGAAACTCGCTGCGTTATGTCTATGGCATCCTCGCAATACTGTGTTATTCATATTTACCTATTAGCAACAACGTATGATCTACTACAGAGGCCGTCAAAATCTCTGCAGTCGAGGCGTTTCATGCGGCAACTTGAAGATGGCATCGTCACCCTCACTTTATTCGGTGCAAGCGTCGTCTCGCGGCAAGAATGGTAGTTTCACTATTCTGAATTAGTAATTTTTATAGTAACGCACGAAAAAACTTTTTTTCATTTAGTGGCTCTTTTTAACACGGCTTTTGGTAGCTCTCGCTGCTGGTACAGCCAAGTTGCAAGGACCTTTGTCGTTACGTTAACCGCTGGCATATTTTGGGGGGATTGATGAGAAATTTGCTATTCTTTTGAAAAAGCTGTTTTTAATTTCGGCTCGATTGACAGGCCCTGCTCATTTTAAATCGCGTCCAAGCTGTTGCCCCACGTTTTCCAACAGTAATTTTAATTAAGGCGTGTTGGGGCTCTTGTTCCCCTCTATCCCGCATTAATTTCTTTTATCCCGGCCTTCGACGGGGACACAGTTTGATGATACGGGCCTAAATTTCCGGTGGCAGATAAGCTAATCGCTTCTGCACGCGTCCTCTTTGGAGATTGAGGCGCGAAGTACGGCGTCTTTCCCTCCTCCTTCCTTACTTGTTATACATTGAGCGTTTGCTGTACTTGCGTTCTCGGCCAACGATGCTGGCTGCAGTGGAAACATGTTCTGGAGCGAGGGAGCACGCGGGCGCTAATGAAAATTCCAGCTCTCTGTAAATTGGATCTCCTCGCTCGCATGACCTCCGGACAGGGTCTTTTGGGAACAGGGCGTTCTCCTCACTTCTTTCTCCCTTGCGTTCATTTGTCCTTCCTGTTTCTTCTCTGCCTCTGTTCTCACCTCTTGCCTAGTTCAACTGCTGGCCCGGATGTAGTTTGGGCACTGGATGGCCTCTCTAACCGTTCTTTTTATCTCCATATTACCCCCATACACTCCCCGAGGCACGCTCATTCGGCACTTGCGAAAGAGATTCGCCGTTCGTACAAACTTGAGTGTGTGCCTTCTTTGGGTAATTGTAAACACGGGCAACTCTAGGTAACTATTCGAATGCTTGTACGTAAAGGCAGCCTTAGTTATCTTAGCCTTAGTTATCTTTGTATGTGAACCTTAGTTAGCACATACCTAGAGGTTACATATACAGTTACATTGTTCTTCAAGTGACATACCCAGCGTGTGGCGTATTGACATGCCGGGTCGGTCAGTGAAGTTTAATTGCAATAACCAGGGTCAATCCAGTTCAATGCAACGGCGGCGGCATGTGCAATTTACCTGAGCATCAGCTTGTTTGCAACGCATGATTGCTAGTGGTGTTTGGAAAACACACGCGCAACTCTGCTATACCTAAAGGAAGAATATATAGAGTAACTCCACGCAGGAGTGGTCCTTCTCGCCATGTATAGGAGTGGAGCAATAAGGCGCAATAGCTGGTTCTAACGAAGACAATAACCGTGTAAAGCTGGGCCGGTTGGCTCACGTTTATATGCGTGAAAAACCAGCGAAAATCAGGACAAGGACCCTGAAGAGGCACACCCATTCACGAAATGTTGCTGGTGTGTCGGTGACGATTTGTGAATGGGTGTGCCTCTTCAGGGTCCTTGTCTTGATTTTCGCTGGCTTTTCCCTTCTTTTTCGCATCTAATGACAACTAGCCGACGAAATTTTGTTAACATATGCGTCGAGGCACACGACAAACCAAACTATTTTCATGACAATGGCAACAAAAAAAAACGCGAATAAACTGGGTGTCATTTTGCCAACAACCACAATAGTGCGTGTATTTCCTTGCCCTATCTTAGTGCGTCCGGCCGATGTCTGGCAGTTACGAATACCAGGACGCGTTATCAGCTTGAGGAGTGGGCTTGTAAAAGATAACGTCGCCGTTCGAATTCAAAAGAAGCCTCTCCCGTATCTCATGTCTGGGTCATCCATATTCCATGTCAGGAATCGAGAAACATCGATACCAATATGCAGCGTAATATTTTGACGCTGGTTCGGAAATATATTGTGCAACAAAATACGGCAATCTCTCTGCACATGGTGACCACATGCTTTGCTTCACGGAAATAATACTTGAGACCATTCGTACATCGTGGACGTAGGGCACTCGCTCAGTGAATTTCGTGCTCAACGGTTGTGTCACCTTGACCTCTTAGTGCCGGGCAGCTCTCGCTGCACGGTGCTCCGTTCTCAGACTCATTCCACCGTGTATTTTAAAAACGGTAGTCTTTCTTGAGGTAACTTCAACGCGCAAACTATGGTATATCTGTCTATCTGTCTGTCGAACGAAACGGCTAAATTGGGACCACAATCACAGCGTCCACCTATATTCCTCATGTTTCTGCGTTCGTGCTTGTGCTATTGTGGATAAAAAAGCAAATATTGCGTATATTTGCGGCACAATATCAACACGTCAATATTCTTCGGTGTGTTTCTTATACTTTAACAGGCATACATAAGTAATTCTAAGAACTGTAGCGTTTGTTACGCTGCGCTGACAATGCGACGCTATGCACAAAAAGGTGACTTTTCATCGCTTTGCTATGACGACACGGTGCTGCCACTTACCTTGAAGACTACAAAATATGGCATCCAAGAGTGTGCGCGCACGTTTCGTGCTTGCTATGACGGAGGCTACCCTTCGTTTTCTGAGATTACCGCCAGAAGGCGCTTATGTCTCTGAAATTACCGCCTTACCTTATGTTTCTGAGATTACCGCCAGAAGGCACTTAAGGCGCTGTTTAACCACAAAAGACGCACGAAACGTAATCAAAGTACAGATATTAGTGTGAACTGACGAGTGTCCCAGATGTTGCTTCTCTGTGTTTGAAAAGCGCGCTCTTTTCGCGACTGGGGCCTGTCCAGCAAGTGAAGTTGACCCTTGTGGCCAAGGCAACTAACGCACTAACTCATTTTGGTGAAGGGCCAAAGCACACGGTTCTCCACACCAAAGGTTAAGTGCGAGTGCACAAGCACCTACCCCTCATCGCCCCCATGCGTGGGGCAAAGTACGCGTGAGAGATAAGCGGCGGTGGCGCATCGCGACGAGCTGGGTGCCGAGCGCGGGCGGCTGTTTTTCTCTCTTGAGCTCTTCTATGTGTAGATACGTATACATATACGGTACATAACAGCAGCGTTGGCAACGGTAAAAACCGGCCCAGTCTGTACGTATAATTGCTATCGCAGTAAAAAGTATTTGTCTCGAATAGACAACTTCATCATACTAATTGAGAATGCATTATTGAAAGTCATTCACTGCATGTCATTATCTACGTGTAATACTTCTAGTAGTGAGATAAATAAAAAAAAAGCTACAGACTTCGAGCACGTGTGACCTTCGTGCAGCTTACGTGCATGCGTGCGTGCCGTATATATAAGGCATTTTTCCTGGGTACGCCATGCCACGCGCCCTCGAGCCTACGGGGTCCCAGGAGCTTGCGTACCCATTACTAACTCTCTCTCTTGGCGAAATTTTCGAAACCCGTGTACTGTGTGATTCGAGTGCACGTAAAAAAAAGAAAAAAAAAACAGGTGGTCTAAATTATCCGAAGCCGGGCTCATCGGTGTCGTATATGCTGAGTCGTTTGTAGAAGTCATTGCCAAACAACTGAGAAGCTGGCTTGTGCAGTGGTGTCCGTGCGGCTGGTGGAGACATGGGCGGCCTCCGAGATTCGGTTCCCGGTGCACGAGGATGTGCACGGCACCGTTTGGATGCGCATGCAGGACACGCTCGTGTTCCCGCCGCAGGCACTGCTGGGCAGCGCGCGGAATGGTGAGTGCGTCACCCACTTTGCGTCATATTGTCGGTTGTGTGTGTGCGTGTGTGTGAATACCAGGAAAGCCCTGTCTCCTAATGAAGCAGACGGCATCTTATCAAATATACCCGCATGTTCCCACACTTTTGCTAATATAGGAGAATGACGTCCAAGCTTTATCGCTTTCATTGCTACGACAGGATACGTATATAGTGGGCTGTCGGCCTTTGTTATGGAGACAGCATGGCTAAAAACATCAACGAAAAAAGATGCGTGATAAACTAACATGGACGTGGACATATCCTCGTCAGAGTTTCTTTCTTTCAATTTTTTCAGCAGTTGTAGCAGTATTGCCCAAACACGCTACCTTAATGAAGCATAATATTTTATGACGTACTGTCTTAATTTCGATTAGAAGGAACTGCATCGGCGGAGCACGCAGTGTTCCCCACTGCGTTTCCACTGCGCCCCGCAGTGCACTACGTCGACTGGCGAGGGAAAGCCGACCCGGTCAAGCTGCCCTGCGTTGGTTATACACGCTAGATGATGTCCTCCCGTCGCAAACTGTCCGAGGGCCTTCTCTGCATGCGCGGGAGTACATTTCATGGGAGTGCGTGTATGCTTCAGCCGTATGACACGTACGCGCGTTATCCTCGCATCGCTGTCAGCCGCTCATTGATCAACACAACTCAAAGGGAGACCGGTCAGGCGCGAAACCCCTAGCAAGACCTGTGTGCCTTCTAAGCGTTTGCCTTGTTCACCGCGTTAGTCGGGTGTTGTGCATTGGTGCGTCCTTTTTTCTCCAGGCGTGGTGAAGCTGGTGTTCATGGCGTACCGGAACATCGAGGACTTCCTGGGCCCCGACGCGGCTTCCTTCGCCGAGGCGCCCGAGCGAATCATCAACTCGCGAGTGATCGCTGCCTCGGTCAACAGCAGGCACCTTATGAAACTGCACCAGCCCGTGCTCATAACTTTCCAGCACCGAGAGGTGAGCTCGCGTTGCAAGCCATGTCCGGTGCTCGTATAGGCACGCGTCAAAGGATTTTACGCGCGAGTATTTATTTGGTGAAGCAGTGAGAACGAGACCCATTTGTGCTCTATCTAACATGAACAGTTTTTTTACGGTGACTGCAGTAACTCTGTATAGGATGTTGAAGTCTTTTTTTGTTTGCTTATTTATTTCTGAGCGTGGAGCTGTCGAAGCCGCCGTAATTTGTCTGTCGGAAGAGAAACCGTCATCATCTAGAAACGGGCGGTTGATGATCGTTGTTTTGAACCGCTTAAGCTCCGATCAACTGTTTTTTCTTCCTTCAAATGGCTGCCCATTTCTTCCCTTTTTTCACGTAGGTGGGAAATGTCACGAGTCCAAGGTGCGTCTTCTGGAGCTTTGACGACGAGTGAGTGTCCTGTTCGTGTGTGTCTGCTTTCGAGCTTCACTCGTCTCTCGCCATCATTATTTTCAATCAATCTATGAGTGCTTATTATACGACTAGATAAATATATAAACTTCATTATTTCACAGTACAGTGTACTATCAGCGTCAAATGAAAGCCGAACAGCGGCAAACCTTCGCGATGCTGTAGTGCGCGCTGTCAACTTATCGCTACGAACAGGCACGCACATATGCGGAAAGCTGCCGAACAGGATGCGCGCGCCTGTCAATTGTGATAACTAGACGGCACGCTCTACACTATCGCAAAGGCTTGCTGCTGTTCGGGTTTCATTTGACGTTGATAGTGCAGCTTAAGAATATACAAAAGGAGGTCCCAGTAGGGTAAATTGGTAGCATATGGAACACCCCGTGATCTGTTATTTGATTGGTAGCGACAGTAGCAAAGGTAGTAAGATTACAGAAATATAAAAAATGAGAAACAGTTATGACCGAGTAGTTATGATAATAACATCAAGAATGCTTAATGGCAATGTGTAAGCTAAGTGCAAATAACATAAACTGCACTTGCGTTACAGCACATTTGTATGTGTGTCGTGTATAGCTTTTTCGTCGTGCTTGTCTCGCTTCAACGCAATGAGCACCGGCATGAACGCTTCTTCCCCTCCCTCGCAGGGAGTGGCTCACCGAGGGCTGCTGGCTCAAGGAGACCAACGAAACGCACAGCGTGTGCGCCTGCAACCACCTGACAAACTTTGCTCTCGCCATGGATCGCAGGCCGCCCGAGGTGGGTGCCCTAAAGCAGATACTGACATGGAAACATTCTCCTCTGCTTACTTCGCGTACGGGTGTCACAGGGCTCGGGATTCGCGTTGAACGCCGCCGCCTTTGAATAAAGCACAATAGAAACCTGGGAACTCGTGAAACGTTAGCACCAGCTCTGGCATTCTCGGTCGATCGCGCGTGATTCACGTGAACAGCGGCAAGTCAACGGTCGTCGTTGTTGACGTCGCAGCTCCGGCCGCAATTTCTGCGATTTAGGCAGCAATTCATCTGGTGCGATTTCTGAGGCATAGCAGGTGCTCGATAGGTTAGGCTTCTGGTTTGCTTTAACGAAGTACTCCAAGCAGCGCTAGGAAAAAAGAAGCTCATGAAGGAGACAGAAAAACTTCTGTACTTCTCGTTCATCCTGTCTTCTCTACCGTTGGTATGCCTTATTTTTTTCGTGATGCTTCTCATATTTGTTCAAAGTGAGCTTGAGTTACCGGGACACTAGCATACTTGCAGCTTTTTCACTCAGCTTTCAATATTACAAATGGGTTTTAGTTCTTCGTGACCAAACAGAGGTCAGTGAAGATCCATTTAGCGCGTAGTTACTGTGCGACGGTATAAATAATTTAATCGTTGGCACCGCGATCAGTTGTGACGGCATACCGCTGCTGTGCGTGGGCTGATCGTGAAGGCCACGTTTTTAATGTACAATGAATAACCAACCTCTCGTTACTGGGAGCGTAAGCTACGCTATAGAGTCGAATGTCCCTAGATCGGTCAAGAAATATATTACAGCAAGATTGTAAGTTGGGCCAGTTAAAGCGTTGTTTCAAATTTGGAAAGGTGAGCAGTGAAGAAGCAGAGGCTATAGCCGCCTTCCGCACGCACGCACGCACGCACTAGCACATTGAAAATGAAACGGTCACTGTTGTACACATGAATAACCCCACTTGGTTTTTCATTTCTATATGTTGCAGCCAACGTCGACCGAGCAGAAACTGCAGCTGTTTGTGTACGCCTCGTTTGCGACATGCATGGTCCTGCTTATTGCCGCTGGCTTCACACTGCAAGCTTTCAGGTAAGAAGCGCGGCCTCATATTTTCAGTGGCCCCTCGTAGATCGCGTGGGAATCGAAGTTTAGTTTTGTTCAGCTTCGATTTTTCGGCTGGTGGTAGTTTTCTTGGGTACTAGTTAGAAGAGAGCGGCTTCCCTTCCGGTATTGGGCAGTATAGGGGACATGAGCTGATAAGAAGCGCAAACAATGCTCGCGCGGTATAAGTTTTGATACTGAGTAAAAGTGTCTTATAAAAAAAGGATGCACGCGAGAAACTCGCATCATGGACAAGCTTTCTTAGATAGACACAAAAAAGGAACATGTTTCTTGCTCCTGACAGTGAATTGCAGTTTCGTAATGCCGAAAGCACTGTTCTTACCGCGTGAAGACACTTGATAAGCGAAAAAAAAACAGCAGGGAGAAGGTCAGGCTTGAAGTCTGGCGCATTAGCTTGATGTACGACGTCGCTTTTTGAGGGCATCGGCTGGCGTCGTCATTGAAGCAGCGTGGTGTAAGTACGCCTCTCGACTCGGTCATTTGGGTCGCCGCACTGGCGTCAACTTATCCCGAGGCTTCAGTGCCAATATAAAGAGTTCAAGCTTGACAGTCATTTCCTGTAGTAATATTTGTCCTATTAGTGTTGTGGGCAATGAGAGTTTTAAAGGAATAATCTGTTTGTATAAATTGATTTATTGTTTTGCTTTTCCTCTATAGGGGCCCGGCAACACTTTTTTAGCATGGTCGAAAAACGGTGCTGATCCGTAGCCGAGTCTTTCGAGAAGGCGCGAGCCGAACATTAGAGCGTGGCAGCCGGCCGAGAACACGCAGTTAATCCTCAAAGCTAGCTAGAAATCGCTGCCTCTTGTGCCTACATATGATGTTATATGCCCTAATTTCTGCGCTGAATACCCCGGCCAACGGCGGTTGGCTGATTTACTGCGTATACGTACCCTCGCTCTGAAAGTAAGCCTCGCGATCGAAGAAAAGCAAGAAAATAAAGTGCTGACGAAACGCCGTATCTTTTTGTCTGCTCGCTCGCTGGCGGAGAGTGTAAGCGCTTGAAGCGTGCACCCGTGCCCGACGGAGAGAAAAAAAAATTACGGCATGCAAACTGGCGAATATTCTATTGCAGCAAAGTTTAATGCGAATCCTGTGCGCAGATCGCTGAAGGGCGAGCGCGTGACGATCCACAAGAACGTGTGCGTGTGCCTGCTGCTGACTGAAGCGTTGCTGGCGAGCGGTGTGGGCGGCCACCCGCAGCGGGTGGTGTGCGGCCTGCTGGCTGGTTTCCTGCACTACTTCTGGCTGGCCGCCTACTTCTGGGCGCTGCTCGAGGGCTTCCAGCTGTACACGGTGCTGCTCGACGTGCTCGGCACCGACCCGCCCTCCTCCAGGCTCAGATGGTACGCTCTCCCGGTTTTTAAAGGCGCCGTTGTTCACTATAGAAACGGTTGCCGTGAAAGCTCGCTCAATCGTATTTCACGGGACCGCAGAACTGTCTGAAAAAGCCCGATTCCGAATGATCGAAATTGTCAAGAAAACAAGGAACAAATGTTCATTGCGGTAGTACATATGCATTTTCCTGGTGAATATGTATACTGTGTATTGCGAATGAGTTATGCGGAAAACGGCAAGGGGGTTGCGAGGTTCCGCCGACCTCATTTGTAATACATATGTCCATGTACTTCGAGTAGTGATCAATTCGACCTCGCGCTGTCAAGTGTTAGCCTGCTAGTTAGCTCAATCGGCAGAGCGATGGCCCTAGAAAGGCGTTGGTCCTGGGTGGGAACTCCGGACCAGGACGACTTTTTCAGCAACTAATGCGATTTTCTTTCTGACAAATCCGAATGGATTTCCTTCTGTTCCTTCATGCTACGAAGGGGTGGTTCTCTTCTTTCCCTTTCTGCATACCCTGTACTTACTTTTAGTACGAACAGTTAAAAAATCGCTGTTTTCGGCGCTCATGACCTTGTTCAAAATGTGACCGCGGCTGAAGACCTCCCTCTCCTAATTCACCCGAATCACGCAAATTTGAAATTAACCCGCAGCGCCGTTACCCAAAGCAGTAGGGTACGCCTCGTGCTGATGACGATGGCGATGTACACTGCACCGCCACCACTTCGTTTCGGTTGTATTCGCAGGCCGTTTTCGTTGCTCCGTTGCGTCGCACATTTGCGGCTCTTCGTGCTCGGGGTGCACCGAGAATCGTTCGAATTAACCGAATTGTGGCCGAATATGGCCTAATGAACGAGTAGCATGGCATTTAACAACACATAGGCCTGTCAGTACCTGAGCTCGCGTCTAATTTATTTTATTTTTCCAGTTAAAGGGTGCCTGAATAACGAGCTTTTACTATATCAACAAACTAGCACATTTCTAGCTCCTTGGTATTTTTGGTAAATTAGTTTTCTTTTTGCCGATGCTTTGAATGAATTACATCCATACGTCGAGTGTGGTGGTTGGCTCCTCGTTCTCGTTAGTGGCGTAGCCCTTTGCCACAGAGCACCTGGCCATAATCCCCAACAGGTCAGCATGTAGGTGTTCCGGGACACTGGGCGTGGTTTATTAACTAGGTGAAACTAGCGAAGAAGTTCAACAATACAATATCGACAAAATAAATCCTACTATGGTCAGGTGCAGTTTACCAACTCCGCTCGAAGGCGGATGCAGACACTGCTGCAACAATGCGAGTGCACTCCAGGCTCACATCACTGGTGGGACGGCTACCCCACTTTTGAATAACATTGCGATTGTGAGAGCGTAACTATTTCTCGAGTCGCAGAGGCGATGCCCGTCCGCGTCTCGGTCGTCTCGTGGGGGGGATGGGGGGGGAGGGGGTCTCTGGAATATAGTATGACCATGCCCGACTATGTATCATGACTGTAGTGTAGCGTCTGTTTCACGTTGCGCGTTTTGAACTGATTTTGCCGCTATCGGAACTGATTTCTTGGATTCGTTCTTGATTTGTTTGAAAAAAGAAGGCACGGTGTTTGCGTTGGTGTCTTCCCGTGTATTTGCTGCAGCATGAGACCACATAAACCGAGCACACGGACTGTTGCTACACTTCCGCGACAAGTGCGCGTTAGTATATAGAGTGATTCTTTAATCACAAATTCCCGGGCTTTTGTCCAAACGTGTAAACGAAAGTGGGGGGGAGGTAGTTACAGCAGGGGGTGAAAAAATCACCACCTAAGCACCGCGTGCGAATGGTGAGCTATAGCGTAGCTGATACTTGCGGCCACAGGTGGTTGCAGATGTCGCGTTCAAGACCGTTCGAGAAACTCCCGCCGAAAGCGTTTCCGTCATTGCCGCGTCGACCGATACTCGCTGCATTGGCCAGGCGAACACGAATTGTCTCACGGGTCAGCTGTCGGCCGGCGCTGTTGGAAAGTGGTCTGATGTTGGGTGTTCGTATGATCCGCCCCGTTCCCATTGGAAAACTGTAAGTAGAACGTTTCCTGCAATGCCGAGCTGTTTACGGCGTCACGTAACTGTGAGCCCCTCACGTGATGTTTGTTTTCTTCCCTAATTTGCCCGTCATTCTTTCGCAGAAAAATGACGGCATTCTTTCGCAGAAAAATGACGCACGCACGCGTGTGGAAAAGGTGGCCTTGAATTCTTTTCAAGGCGGCAGCCTTAAACGTCTCAAGCTCACGTCTTCCCATCCACGCCTTGGAAGGGTGCCTGGTAGCCTCGCGTCGAACTCCACAGTGATCACGCTCTACTTGCGTTGCGCCGTTGTGTCCACTCATGCAAAGAGGGAGACGCGCGCAGCGCATTCCATTCTGACTGACCCCGTCGGAATAGACGTTGGCTTACGCCGAACACAATACGGAATTAACAAAGTATCCTTAAAGTTTTTTTCTCTATCATCTCTCTTTCCCTGCTCCCCTACATTACTTTCTCTCCCGCTCCCCATTGCTGTGTTGAAGTGATTTTTGTTGTGAGATGGCGCTGCACATTATTACAACTTTTCTCTATTTTAAAGCTTTTATTGCGATAGCGATTATATGGACACTCTAGGCTGGATTTTACCGCCGGCATCGGCGTCGCCATTTGGGTGCACGTTAAAGAACCCCAGGTGGTCTAAATTTCCGGAGCCCTCCACTACGGCGTCTCTCATAATCATATATATATATATATATATATATATATATATATATATATATAAAATGCAAGAAAGAAAATAACCCAAAAAAAGGCATCGGCGCGTGGACTCGAACGTCGGACGTTTCAATTGTGTTCGCGCGGCGTTAGTCACTGAGCCACGAAGAAGCACCTCGTTTAACGTTCAAACGGCAAGCGTTCAAAGGGTATCTGGGGGGGGGGGGGGGGGGACTATGGTGTTTCCAGCATCACCAGCAAGATGGCGCAATGAGCGCGCGTCGCCCCATCGTCACGACGCGGCGGTGCGCTCACATCTCTCACACCTACTTTGCCCTGCGGATAGGATGCATTGTGGACGCTCACGCGTGCGCTTGCTCTTTTTGGAGTGGCGACAATAATAGTACGTCTTGGCTGGCCTTGGGCTTTCACCGGAGCAATTCTGTTGTTGTTGCCGGGCGCAAAAGGTCACTACAATCGTTTCACAGTCGTTGTTTGCGAAAAGGGCGCGCTTTTCAGACACAGTGAAGCAATAACTCACACGTTTATTTGCGTTCATCTGTACCTGTGTGTACGTTTCGTGCGTCATTTTTTGCGTGAGAAACGCGGGGCACGTTTCGATCTGCTTGCCATATTGCGCGTGGGTTTCCAATTTGTTGCTATCGCGTTCAATGATTGATATGATTGATATGTAGGGTTTAACGTCCCGAAACCACCATATGATTATGAGAGATGCCGTATTAGAGGGCTCTGGAAATTCGGCCACCTGGGGTTCTTTAACCTGCACCCAAATCCGAGCACATAAACCTACAACGTTTCCGCCTCCATTGAAAATGCAGCTGCCGCAGCCGGGATTCGAACCCGTGACCTGCGGGTCAGCAGCCGAGTACCTTATCCACTAGACCACCGCGGCGGGGCTATCGCGTTCAATGCTTCGCATTTGCGGGAAAGTTGTGACTTCCTTTTTTTGTTGTTGTTGAAACTGCTGCACGCTGCACGGCGGTGTGGTTGCGAAGGGGTGAAAGGCGTTGTGGAAAGGCATTTCCAATGGCTCGCGCCCTAAGCTGCGATGTAGCGAATGGCGCAACTGTTTGAGCAGCTAAGCGTTACTAGTGGCAACGGTTTTTCGTTTCGCCTAGCCATATACAGCTCTCGCTGTAGAAAAGAAAAACATGTCTTCGTTAGTACAGCACAGTTTGTCAGAAGACAATCGACTCCGCTCTATACTAGCAGACTAATTTTCTTGGCAATAAGGGTAACTATATGGGACGGTGCTTCTGCACATGAACTACTATGCACGCCAAGTAGTCTGGTACGTCAAGTGTACAGTATCGCGGTGGAAAATTCTGGCTTGCGCGAACAGCGTTTTACATTCATGTACGTAAAAGGCGCAGCTTTTTTTTACGAGTTCAAAAACGCGAAGTAACAACTAGTAAATTAGTTTGTATATTTAGATATAACAATAAAATATTTAATATTTATTTATTTTCAATACTGCTACTCTCATTCGAGAGCGTGGCAGTTGGGCAGTACAATGATTTTCAGTACAGGCAATAAAAATAGAGGGAAAAAAAAAATCAAAGCAAAACAAGTGAGTTAAAACATACACTAACATTTGTAGCGTAATTACAGCATATGTGGGTTACAAAAAAAAAAAAAAAAAGAAAAAAAACAAGAAGCACGATATATACAGCATACAGTAAGGCAAACAAAATGCTGGTTAAGGAACAGCATACTCAGTGGAATTTACACAAAAACGCCTAACACATGCTAGGTTCAAGGGAAATGACAAAAAAGCAAAAAGAAGGAACATGAGGCTTCGCAAAAAGTGACCAAAGAAAATAATAATAGTACAGGTGTCGGTGGGGGCTGGAATAAGACTAGGGTAAATAAGATTACATTTCTGGCATTGAGCAATAAGTTGACGTAAATGGGAAAGTTTCTAGAAGATGAAATGAAGAAATCTATGTTGGTGACTTTGCATACATAGGTCCTCTTACGCAAACACATTTTTTCTATTTGTGCCATAAATTCCGATAGTGATTCGATGTTGGTGATAGTAGCGTCAAGTTGATTCCATTCTGATATTGCGAGCGGAAAAAAAGAATACTTAAACGTGTCATTTTTACATGCATATTCTGTCAATGTGTGCGCATGCTTATTACGTGTAGGTCGAGCCTGGGAAAACGAAATATACTTAGAAATATCTATTCGATAGTTATTTTTCAGTAACTGAAATAAGAATTTTAGTCGAGCGTGTTTCGCTCTTGTGGATAGCTTTTGCAAACCGGATTTCATTAAAAGATGCGTGGGCGAGTCTGTGCGTTTATATTTATTATGAATGAACCTCACCGCTTTTCTTTGTATTGATTCAAGTTTTTTTATGTTAGTCACTGTATGCGGAAACCAGACTGTGTTAGCGTATTCTAGAACAGGCCTTACAAATGATGTGTAGGCTAGCAGCTTCGTTGCCGTTGTTGCGTGTGCTAGGCTTCTTTTTAAGAAAAATAGCTTCTGTAGCGCCTTTGAGATTATTTTACTTATATGCTTGTCCCACTTGAGATCCGATGTTATTGTGACGCCTAGATATTTATGTTCATCAACCCTATTAAGGGGGGTGCTATTAATTACGTATGTGAAGGTGGATGGTAGTGCTTTCCTGGTCACAGTCATGATCGCAGACTTTTGTACGTTGAGTGTCATCTGCCAACTGGAGCACCAATTAGCTATATCAGCTAGAGAATCATTCAGCTCATTATGATCACTGTAATGACTAATTTCTTTGTAAATGACACAGTCATCTGCGAATAGCTTTATATTGCATTTGATGTTAGCTGCGATATCGTTAATATAGAGCAAGAAGAGCAATGGTCCGAGGACAGACCCTTGTGGGACTCCGGATGTAACTGCGACTGTGTTAGATAACGTATGTTCGTAAATTACAAATTGCGAGCGGTTATTTAAGAAGCATTTTACCCAGCCAGAAAGTTCTCCTATACCAAAAACATCTTCAACTTTGGCGATTAATTTGCTATGACACACACAGTCGAAAGCCTTAGATAAGTCAAGTAAAATCATGTCAGTTTGACCACGGTTATTAATTGTAGCAGCGAGGTTGTGTACTAGTTCTGTGAGCTGAGTAACTGTGGATAAGCCACTGCGAAAACCATGTTGGTTGGGGGAAAAAAAATTAATGCGCTCTAGGAATACTGTCATGTGCTTTAAGATTATGTGTTCGAGAAGTTTACATGATGTACTAGTTAGAGAAATGGGCCTGAAATTTGAAGGTGAATCTGCGTCTCCTCCTTTGTGGATTGGTTTTATCTTGGCTATTTTCCATTCTTGAGGTAGCTGTGAAGTACTGAGTGATTTCCGGAAAATTAGGCCTAGGTATCTACTGCACCACTCTGCATATCTTTTGAGGAATGTATTTGGTATATCGTCGGGACCGCTACCTTTCTTGGGGTCAAGTTTAAGCAAAAGGTTGAAAATCCCTGCGTCCGTAATGTCCAGTTTATCGATTTCCGTGTATTGTTTTGTTTTAATCGCGGGAATGATATTATCATCCACGGTGAACACTGACTGAAAAAAATTATTATATGCGTTGGCCTTAGTTTTTTTTTCTTCGGGAAGAAGATGTGGTGTAACGGTTTTATTGGTACGAAAGTGATTCCAGAACCTTTGGGGATTATCAACAAGGAAGTTAGGCAATACTACGTCAAAATAGTGCTGCTTAGCACGTTTAGCTTTAAGTTTGAATTCCGCGATAGCTTCCGATAGTTTCTGAATTTCGGATTCTCCCCCTCCTTTCGTTTTTATTGCCCTGCGTAACCTTTTCAAGCGTCGCTTTGCTTGAATTACCTCCCGCGTGATCCATGGATTATTTTTTGGAGGACGCTTTGTTTTTGTGGGTATGTAGTGCGCGATACAGTAAAGTACAACTGATTTGAAGTGGAGCCAAAGAGAATCTACATCTATTGAAGCATGGGAACCGGTTTCTGAAAAATGCTGGAATTCATGAGCGAGATGCGTCAGCACGCTATCATCATCGGCGTTTTCGAAGTCTGTTACTACAGATACAGAAGAATGAGTGGTTATGGTGCCGTCGAGGGGTACGAAGCACACTGGTACGTCGTGGTCAGATATACCATGGACTACGTCAGTTTTAATGCGGTTTATGTCGAAATGATTACTGAAAAATATTAGATCAAGTATGTTCTGTGAAATTCCCTGTGAGCGGGTTGGACGTGAAACGACCTGATGGAGATTAAAGGTAAGCATAAGGTCAAACAATGTATCCGAAGCCGATGATGAGTAGCACATACTATTCCAGTTAATATCTGGCAGATTAAAATCACCCATGAGAACAACGCGCGAACCAAAGGTGTGACGTTGCATGTAATCGTGAATGGCACTGATAGAAGCATCACCAGAATTTGGGCTCCGATAAACACAACCTATGAATATACTCGCGCCGTCACAGAGCAGTTTGCAAAAAATGGCTTCTGCGCTTTGTACATCCGGAAGAGCAACAAATGAAAGTCCCTTTTTTATTAATAACGCCACTCCACCACCACGTGTGGGGCGGTCTTTTCGGATCACAGAATAGTTAGGTGGTGCAAACTCGTGATCAAAGACGTCAGGCGTCAGCCAGGTTTCTGTAATTGCTGCCAAGTGGGGCTCATGATCAATGATCAGATTTTCAAGCAATTCAGGCTTATTGATGACGCTTCGTGCATTCACCGTGAGGAGTGCTAGTTCACCGATTTTGCAGCACGACGAGTAACAGCTCCCTTTTTTGTTTGATGACTAGGTACGTTCACCGCCGTTGCTGAACTTGTAGTAGCCGAGGCTTCTCCTACGGTTTTTTTATTAAGCGGTACCTTGTCATCCTTCTCATTGTTCCAAACATATGCGCGATTATTTATATATAACTTATCAAAAACAAGAGAAACTTTCTCATTATTTTGTCGGTTAGCTTTCGCACTGTTCCATAGTTTCCTTCGGATATCGCGTACATGTTTAGAAAAGTCTTCAGCAATCGATAGGCCGGTATCTTTAAGTTTATATCCCCTCTTTAGTATTGAAGGTTTGTCTCTAGAATCTAGTAGTTTAATAATTACAGGTCTAACCTTGTTTGGCGCTGCTCTACCTATCCGGTGTATGCGCTCGATTGCTATTGGTTTTAGTTCAAGAGTGCCTTCAATTATGTTTTTGTTTACTGTACCTTCAAGTATCGGGGGCGTCTCGCCTTCTGCCTCTGGTAAGCCGTAAATTATCAGGTTATTTCGCCTGCTACGATTCTCGAGATCGTCAATTTTTCTTGCATGGATTTTATGAGAACATTCAGATTCGCGATTTGTTCTTGACAACAGTTGACTCTTTCTTCTAGGCTTGTCAGTAAGTCTAATTTCTTGTCAATTTTAGCCAGACGACTTTCCTTAATCTCTTTTATATCCGCAGCTATTTCTTTTAATTGTTGGCTGATATCAGGACCAGGGTTCGTCTCGATGTCGCCGCCAAGCAATAAGAGTTTAAGTATAGACGCCGCATGCTCAATTGCAACAGCATATAGCCGTGGGCACGGCAGCACAAGCAAGAAAGGGTTGTTTGAGCTAATGCATTTTCCATAACGCTTCCTCACCTGTAGGATGAAGACAAGCGGATTGTTAGCTGACCGCATTCCGTGAGTGCCACCGTGCCCAATGGCCCGGCCGTGCTTGAGGTGGTCCTTTATAGCTGGGTCTAGTGGTGGCGCTGAGCTTGGTCTATGCGCACAGCAAATGCGCACAGTGTCCGCGCAGGTAGACGATGAACGTTGCAGCACGGGATCCCATGACTGAATCAGTAAGGAATCTCGAGTGTTGATAGTGACGTTGACGCCACGTGTTGTTCTGGGTAGTCCTGGTGGCTCGGAACCCGGACCGGCATGAAGCAGCAGTCCGAGGATGAGCTGTAGGATGAAGACAAGCGGATTGTTAGCTGACCGCATTCCGTGAGTGCCACCGTGCCCAATGGCCCGGCCGTGCTTGAGGTGGTCCTTTATAGCTGGGTCTAGTGGTGGCGCTGAGCTTGGTCTATGCGCACAGCAAATGCGCACAGTGTCCGCGCAGGTAGACGATGAACGTTGCAGCACGGGATCCCATGACTGAATCAGTAAGGAATCTCGAGTGTTGATAGTGACGTTGACGCCACGTGTTGTTCTGGGTAGTCCTGGTGGCTCGGAACCCGGACCGGCATGAAGCAGCAGTCCGAGGATGAGCTGTAGGATGAAGACAAGCGGATTGTTAGCTGACCGCATTCCGTGAGTGCCACCGTGCCCAATCTAAAATAAATAAATAAATAAATAGCCAAATTGATGTCAGTTATATTCATATTTCACGCATAAAATCAGGACACAATTGCAGGACTACATTCAATACCAGTGTATATGATACGCGCGATCTAGCTCTGTAGCTTTGCCTGCATAACCTCGATAGGTTGTCCACGATTATAGTGCAGTGTGAATAAACGAAAGAAATCGCATAAAGGTTTGTTCTGGACCGGTATTCTTGAATAGTCGTTTGTGTCTCCAATTGTGCGCAGGTATTACCTACTGGCATACGGCGCGCCTGCGGTGATTGTGTGCGTGTCGGCCGGCATCAGCCCGTCCAGCTACGGAGCGCTGGGGACGTCGTTGCGCAAGGCCTGCTGGATCGACATGGAGGGACACCAGCTGTGGAGCTTCGTCGGCCCCGCCGCATTCTCTGCCCTGGTACGTTCGACGCTTTTAGCGGATGTGGCCTCCGAGATCGCGGTCGTCTATTGCTCATTTGCTTACCGACACGTCGGCCCTAGAGGGCTTCGTTGCGTCAGGCTTACATAGCATAGGCATCGCGCGTTTGTGATTTCGTGCCGGCTTGTTGCAGGCCTTATGGCTGTTGGGCGCCATTGCATCTGTTAACGAAATACTTCTGGTGCAACAGAGCCAGAAAAAAAAAAAAACGACGGAAGACAGAATGGTTCGCCAGACCTTCAACTAGTCCTGTCTTCTGTCGTTTTTCTTACTGTGTTCCTTGCGCTACAAAGATTTTGGTAAACCATTTCACCAACTCTCCGAGTGTCACACTATCTTTACACTGGCGTGCACGTTTAGTGTAATCCTTATGGACGGGCTGTGCAACAAAATTATACATAGAACAGGAAGTTGCGCTGCTAATAAAGATTGCTTATGTGCCGTTTCTAGACTCGCTCGCCCTCAAATTGCGTAAGCGGCTTCAATGCATGCCGTGGTTTTTACGAATGCTGAAAAAGACTGACCTTTGTTATACGCATCTAATGGAAACACCTTGTCGGAGCATGTAATGACCCTCTTCGACAACAAAACTGTTCACTGTTTTACTGAGGAATGATGGGCAGGTGATTATATGTTGTGCGCTATTGGAAATAGAGGCGATTGTTGGACTCGCGCGATTGTTGGACTATGCTGAACAGTTTATGTCAATTTTGCTACGGGATACGGACGGGGAGAGTGTCGACCTGAAGCGCTCTTTTTGCCTCCCTGGCAGCTGTGCCTGATCTTCCTGGTGATGGTGTTCTACAAAGCACGCCGGCACGTTGACCTGCACGCAACCCTAAAGAGCAAGGAGCAGGAGAGAATAGCCAACACCAGGTGCGTGCCACAGTTTTCCGCCTATAATGGGGCCTTCTTTTCCCGCCGAGTCGGTTGTGAAACGTTCCACTCGCTTCCTGCAGTTTTCGAGTTTATCTGCATTTTCAAAAAAAAAAATTAACGCAGGGATCCTCACGTTCACCAACATGAGCTTGTTTATGACGTTGAATAGTAGTGTGTTGGAGTCGATCATACATTGCGGATGCGTCAACTAGCATGCAGTGCAAACGTGCATTGCAGTCGAATAAAGACTGCGCTGATCGAAGACAATGTTGGAGAGTGAATATATGTTACCGTTCATATTTGCGCATATTTTATCTGCACAAAATTATTTTGGGTATTTGTTCAACTCCCCTTCATATTCGAGTGATGCTTCTTTGTTGGAATTGTGAGCGCGGCTCGAACAAATTGCGCTTGCGTGCAGGTCCCTGGGCGTGCACACTTTGCTGGTGCTGGTGTGCCTGTGCCTGGCCAGCTCGTTCGCCCAGCTGCACGTGTCGCGTGGCTCGCTCGTGCACACCAGCCTCTTCTCCGTCCTCAACATCCTGCTGGGTCTCGCGGTGCTCGCCTTCCACTGCCTAAGCAATGAAAAGGTGCGGGCTGCCCGCCTTTTATCTCATTATTGCGCCACCTCAGTTTATGTCGACCTTGAGTGAAACACGCGGCTGCTTAGGTGTTGGGACGTAAAACCCCAGAGTAGACTTAGGTGAGTGTCACACCTTGGTCGCCTACAACGGCGGGCTTCATAATCATATCCTGGCGCGTGAAAGCAGTGTGACTCTATAGTCGTTTCTCATGCATTCACGGCACGCAGCTCATCCGTCAGGGCGCCTTCAGAAGGGAACTCTTGTTGTCCCTGTGTTGAGGAGCGCATGTGTGCTTCTCCCGCAATGAAAGTAATTCATTAATATTGTGACGAAACTGCTCGCCCGTCGAAATGTCGCCCTGAACGCAATAATTCTTCGGGGCGTGTGGCATCCAGGACTGCCCGCCCTCAGTGGCACTTATATAGGTCCCCAAAAGCTGACATACCTCAGCGTGCAAAAAACGTATACACTGGATTTTGTTAAGAAGTAATCCGCGAACCGCCGTAGGAACGGAGTCTTGGGGCACAAATGCACGTGGTGGCCTCATTAGCGATGTTTGTTGACTCACCAATCGATCGCTGCAAAATTGTCTCGAAACCGTCGAAAGCGAGCGCAGTTCTAGCGATGAGTCGCACGCCGATTTCTCCATTATGGCGCCGCGACGAGCGCGTCTGATGACCCGTGATCTCGCGGCGATTTTTGTATGCGCGTTAATTGTGTTTCCCGAAACCGTGATACGATTATGTAAGACGCACTAGTGGAGGGCCCGGATATTTGGTGTTCTTCGACGGGTACTGACTTCGCACACCACAAGGCGGAGGCGTGTGCGCGCTATAATCAATGGTGTACTGCGTGATAGCATAGAAAGGTAGGCTAGCTGGTAGTTCATAATCGTTCTGCGAACTCGGAGCGCGCGGGAACAAGAAGCTGTGCTGTGTGCCTCCTTGTGTGTGTTCCCACGCGTTCTCAGTTCGTACCGTGTGATCTTAGCTTACCGGCCGTGGACGGTGGTGGCGGCACGCCATGCTAAGAAGGGTAGATGATCCGAACGCGACTCTTCAATGCAATGCCGGCTATTAGCGGGATCTGGCAGCTTCCGGAGAGAGTGAGCACAGTTATGAAAATAGTTACGAGAATGCCCTCATCGCGGGCTCTGCCTCTGAGCTCTCCTAGCCGCGTACGACCACGAGATTAAGCATTGCTGCGCATAGCTGAAGGGCGTGTTTGTTGACCGAGAAGGGAGTTTGGACGTGGCGTTCTTCATCGCAGGTGAAGCGTGCCGTGTGCCGGCCGTGGTGCCGTCTGCCGGGTTCCCGGTTGGGCGGCGCCAGCCCAGGCGGAGCAGCTGCCTCGGGGGACGCCGTGGGGCCCCACCCGGGCCTCTTCATGCATGCCAACGGCATGCTGGTGCCCTATAGTGTGCGTAACCCAACTCCTACTTCTTTGTCGCCAGGTATTACGCTCGTTCCTTGGTTGTTACTACTCTCTCCCTTCCACACCTCTCTTTCTGGCCTGTCTTTACCGATGGCGGCCATCTTCCAAAACGCCTGCTTCCCTTTTGCTCCTGTCACTCGACTTCCACTTATCTGCGGCCGTCTAGAAGACACAGTTGGGGAACTAAATGGCCGGGAGCTGAAGGCCTATTTCTAAGAAATGAGCCCTAAGCTTACCTCGTGAGCTCACCCTTAGAAAAACAAAAGCTTTGACTGTTGTGTTTTGTTTTGTTTAGAGTGCTGTCTTGCACCATGCATGACTCTCTTAAAAGTGACACGTCAACTCTCTTTGGAGATCATTTGATCCTTTTCGGAGAGTCGTGGGTCTCCATTAAGTGACTCATACACGGGAGAAGTATAATAGTAATAAAAAAGAGTCAAAGGATTTGTTTTTATTCTCAGAGCGCTGGTGATATCCGCTCATTTTTTTGGTATTCAATAGCGGAGAACAACTAGCTGCGCAAGCCTGACCGTTTGTCGATGGATAGTCTCGGGGATAATGACCAATCGTAGTGCTCCTTATAGTATTGCATGGCTACCTATTTGCGTGTTAATAACTACCCCAAACGGGGTTTTTTATAGCGTCATTCGCTATTACGGGAGGTCTGCGTGGCATTAGCAGTTAAACTTATAAAACTGACAGTTGAACCCTCGATACTGTCCCACGAAATAAAGAGTTGTTTTGCAGAGAACGGCATGAAGTTTTGGCTTGCAGAAAGCGGCAAACTGCAGTATTCGGGAATGTCAGCCGCAATACGTGTCCTCATGCCGGCTGGGCGAACTTTTCCCGCAGCTCTCAGTGTTTCGATTCCCGAGAAGCCATCGCAGTGCATGTCGTGCGGTGTACCTTAATGTTGCGGCTGCAATCGCATTCTTCACCAGGGGAGCTCAGTGCCGAAGTTGTTTCCCATTGCGTATACCAATTCTAGTTATTCGGTTGGCCGCAGCAGCTGGTCGGATAAGTTAAATCAAATACTACCGCGTTCGATGGTGAAGTGGTGAAGAGAATACCTCCACGCGTGAAGTGCATAATTTTGCCTTTGGCTAAAGGGGCACTAGAGGGAACTTATGCATCGTTGAAAATTGGTAAATTTCAATGTGTATAGTCTAATCATGTTAATTTCACCACCATTATTTCAATACAGGAGAAAATCAAGATTGCAATAATATTTTTTAATTTTCGAAAACTTGCGCGGGTGACCACACGCATTTCAAAATGCTTATTTCATAATTTAGCGACACTGATCTTACGAAATTTCCTGAAAATGTTAAGTCTGTGGCCCCCTCGTCGTAATATGTGCCCCATTTTCGCCAATTAGGAAAGATGTAGGCCATATTTGACTCCGTGAAAAATCTGTGACGTCACTGTGACTGTTGCGCGGGCTTCAAAAAGGCGTTGCTACACGCTTATTATTTTTACGCGTTTTCTATCTATCCCGTAGGGAGCGTGGGGATTAAATTTTTTTTGCGAAAGTAATTCACAAATGCGAAAATAATTGGTTTAGTGTCCTTTTAAAGTTCGCGTGAACGTTCGCCGGCGTACAGTGAGGTGCATGTAGAAGTCATCGAGTGGCCTACGTATCTGCCCCATCTTTTCCTCTCCCTTTTCCCCTTTCCCACTCTTTTTTTTGTTTTCTCGTTCAATCTTTCTTGCTTGCACGTTGCTTTGTGTGTTTCGTGCTCTTTGTTTCTGCCTGACAGAATGTTCTTGCACTCGCTAGCTTACTGAAGGCGCCAAATTATAACTGCTTATTACGTGTGATAACGGCTTCATTTTATTGAGGCATTAACTCGTGCATTATGTCCTCCGTAGTAGTAAGTGAGCAAGAAATTCTTAGATGAAAATAAGATAAAAGTGAGCTTTATAACTGTCTCTCGGGGGGAGGGTACCTCAACAGTAGCTCACAAGGAATGGAATTAAGGAGGGATTAAAAAGATAGGATTAAAAGGTATATAGATAAAGAGGGTGGAAAGAGAAAGGAAGGCGCAGGTACAGCCACATACGGAAGGAGAAGATGGGAAAAATGGATACGGCCGCAGGAGTCCGAGGGCGGGGCATCACTCGGCGAGGGCTCTTGTCGGTGTCTGGAGATGGCGTAGGGCGAGCCAGTCGGCACGAGCCGCGCTGTCATCGGAGATCGCGAAGACACAATTAACCGGTCGGCACGAAATCCAGTGACCGAGTCTGTCCTTCGTATTAAATGCTTCGTCAGGGACTGGCTGTAACGTTGCTCGTTCGCTTTATCGAGTGAATATATATATATATATATATATATATATATATATATATATATATATATATATATATATATATAAATATGAAAGTAGATGCGCTTTCACATAACAACTGTTTATTGTGCCGACGTTTCGACAGGAACCCTGTCTTTTTCAGACAGGGTTCCTGTCGAAACGTCGGCACAATAAACAGTTATGTGAAAGCGCATCTACTTTATAACCTTGCGGCAACCGAAGTTATTCTTCTGTATATATATATATATATATATATATATATATATATTTCTTGAAAGTCTTCCTGGATTCCGGTCGAGTTATAAGTCAAATGTTCGCTTCTGGTGACTTATATATATATATATATATATATATATATATATATATATATATATATATATATATATATATATATATATATATATATCTTTGAGATTCCTTTACTTACAAGAGATGATGAATGCGAGAGTCCAGGGATCCGGCAGATCACCACTCGTGCCATCCTCGTTCTCCTCTTCTTTCACGCGTCCCCTCAGCATCGTAGTGATTATCTCTTTGCAGACGATGCCCACTGGGTGAGTTAGGCTTCGTTACGATGATGGTAGCGTTTTAAACGGGCAACATGAACGACGTTGGTATTACTTGAGCGGCGGCCAGTTGACAACAGCTGAGATATCACGTACGGGACATCGCTGAGACGTTCCAGGACAACAAACGGACCGGTGTAGTTGGCCAGAAACTTTTGGCAGAGGCCGCTCTTGCGAAGCGGTGTCAAAAGCCACACCAAATCCCCTTTCTCAAACAGTACGTGCCGGTGACTTCTGACGTAACGGTTCTTGGACCGTTTTTGGGAGGCGAAAGTTTGAAAACAGGCGATGCGCTGGGTCTCTTATGCGCGGCAAATGGTTTTGGTGAGAGTAGGTTGATCAGTCTCGGAAAAAATGAAGAATAGTGTCAAGAGCTGTGCGGGGTTGGCGTGCGTAGAGCAGATAAAATGGGCTCTATCTCGTTGTTTCGTGCTGTGCAGTGTGTTTTAGGCGAAAGTTATAAATGGCAAGATCGCGTCCCGTGTTTTGTGTCCGGAATCGACATGCATGGAAATCATGTTGATGAGAGTCCTATTAGTTCGTTCTGTCAAACCATTAGTCTTCGGGTGATATGGGGTAGTGTGGCGAAAATGGCACAAAGCAAGACGAAGGAGGACTTCATCTACATCGGCAACAAATTGCCGCCCGCGATTACCGATGATGACACGGGGTATCCATGGCGTAATATGACGTGCGACAGCATGAACTGTAAAACTTTAGGGGCCATGGTGGTGAAAACATTTAATAACCATTAAATGGTTACAGAGAGGTGATTGGGTTGGGGCCTTATTGGCCTCCTACCCTCACAGCACTAGGTGGAACCCCTATTCCGGGGCTCCATTGGCAAGCAACGCCGCCCGCGCACGTTGAACCAGAGCCTCTTGGGCCTTCAGGTCTTGACAGCCGAGCAGGGCCGCCTCCCAGTCCTCTCTCGTGGGATTGGGGTTGGGGGGGATAGATGGATTAGACTGGCACGCCCAGACGATGTGAAAGGTGTCAGCCACCTCACCACAGAACTGGCACGTGCCATCAAAGGATGAATTGAAATGTTTTAGCACTGCCGGGCACAGTACAGTATTGGTAAACAGTTTTAAAAGGAGGCGCTCGTCAGCGCGATGCAGTCCCTTACAAGGGTCTGGATAGCGCCGGTGCTCCTCCTTGTAGTAATTGGTAATATCTTTGAATGAAAGGGCCGAATTGTCTGATTGCGAGTAGGCTTCCAAAGACAGGGAGATAGCCCGGGAAGAGAGTGCGCGGGCGGCCTGATCGGCCTGTTCGTTACCCCTGAGTCCTTGGTGACCGGGTGCCCAAACCAGATTTCGCGGAGTTGGATTAACGTATCGGCAGCTAGGTTCCAGTATGCGCTGAGCAAGCGGTGAAGCCCACCCTAGCTGATAGTTCCGACAGGCCCCTCGTGAGTCGGTGATGATATGTTTAGAAGAGGGATAGGTGAGAGCCAGAGCGATGGCAACCTCCTCCGCGTGTGTTGCGCTGTAGGCTTTGAAAGTGAGCCCGTTTACGGTGTTTGCGTTGTGTATGACTGCGGCAGTATACCACCCCCCATGGTGCGGGCCGGCAACGTCCACGTAGCACACGTGTTCCTCTTGACCAAAGTGTCGCTGCAACGCTTCCGCGCGCGCCTGGCGGCGACCACTGTGGTTTTCTTTGGACATGTTGCGGGGAAGGGGTCGGACCCGGAGGGCGCGTCTCCAAGGTTCTGGCACTCTCACCCTTTCCTCAATATAGTAATCGTGTTTGATGTGTATTCGGTCCAAGAGGCGGCGACCGGAATGGGTCTGTGCAAGGCGCGTGTATTGGTTAACGAGGTGGGCTTCTCGAAGTTCCCGGTAGGTATTCACCACGCCTAGGGCCAGAAGTCTCTGGTTGGACGTGGTGATAGGGAGGTCGAGAGCCCGCTTGATAACTTTACGGTGGATGACCTCCAGTTGATCATCCTCGTGTTTGCGTAGGTGCAAGTAGGGAGTCGAGTAGAGTATTCTACTCGTTACGAAAGCATGGGCAAGCCGCATTGCATCCCTGCTTCGTAATCCGCCCCGCTTGTTGGAGACCCGGCGGACCATACGGCCCACCTGGTCTCCCACCGTGCGAA